CATTACTGTATCAGCTGTGTTGGTTGTCTAAAAAGCTCATATTGACTCAGAGCCTTGAGCTCATTAATATTTCTGCTTCATTCCTCCTGGGCATTGCTTGACTGCTGTGCCCTGTGTATGAGAGACATAAGGCCAAATTCTCTGCTAGTGGAAACTGACAACTCTATTGAGATTTTTTTCCTTTTTTTAAAGTTAAATCTCTCTGAACCAAAAGTGACACAGACAGACATATACACATACACACACACACCTAGGTAAGTTGGACTATTGGCTTCCAGAGAGCAGGGCATCATTCACCCTGACTGAAAGGGTGCAAAGATGACTCAAGATTACATTGGATGTATTTATAGTGGTGCACCTTTATTGACTCAGTATGTCCAACAGCTGGATTACTCAAGTCCAATATCTCTCTTGTGAGTTTCTTCCTTTTCCACCAGGTAGTCTGACAACCCAGAGACGCATGCCACTGTTGATGATACCACATCAAGGATACTTTAGTTGCTCATAATTACAGTATATGTTCTCGGAACCTTTGAACTATTTTGGTTCTACAAGCTCTCGTGCTGATCCAGTAATCGTTACTTTCCAACAGAAGTTTTCCCTGAGTATAAGACTGTTTTACTGCTGCCTTTGCCTCCTGAGATAATTCCCATTTTATTCCTTTTACTTCTATTTTTAGTTTTTCCATGGACAGGTATATTTCTGACTTCTGCACTTTTATATGAGGGTGGACAATCTTCCTACAACCTTTGGGGAGGCAGGGATTGTTTCATGCATCCCTCCATCTAAAGCAATACTCCAACACCTTTTATCAGCAGGGGCAGGAGAACTATGCTGTCATTTAAAGGAGCAGCTAAGGAGAATATAATGAAATAAATTCAAGATGCATAAAAATAAAAGATCTATCAATAACTCTCCCTGCTCTCTCAGCTTCAGATTAGTGCATCTCCTTCCCTTTTGGACGTAAGTAATGCTATGCAGTACGATAGAATTACCTAGTGGTCACACTACCAGCCTGTTCCCCTGGGCCTATTTCCCAAGGGAAGAACTCAGAGTTTTTTCCTGCTTTAAACCCGGGGAAGCATATGCTCCCCAGCATGCAATCTCTTGTACAGTGTCAATCCAATTTTCCATTACAGGAAGCACAGATGCGATTTGCTGCAAACTCTCTGGCCAACCATGTTCTGGGGAGGTGAAGAGGTGAGCACCTTCTCCTCCATTGTCCAGCCTCTTAACCAGTCAGGTATCTGGGAGCAGGGCAAGCTTTCAAAGCGCTGGTGTAGACAAATGGAGTAATGTGCTCCATTAATACCAAAATAATCCATATTTGGTGGTCCAGAAAATCATCCAAAAGAGAAACAATCCCCCATCCTTATTTTATATAAGAAGAGGTGAATCTTTGTATGTTCACTACATATTGACATGTTGAAAACCTCTACATTTTATCATCATATTGGTCAAGCTCAGCCCAGTAAGAGAGAGCTAAAACATGTATATTTGGTGACTACTAGCAGTCTATCAAATCACACACACACAGAAAAAATTCCTGATCAAATCAGATAACATGTTTTACTGATAAAAAGAATGAAAGCACGTTACAAATATTTAATCTATGGTATCCAAAATTACAAAATCAACATAAATGCACCAGTATGCAAAGAGAATAGAGACTCTAAACCATTCTACTGGTACCAATAGGAGCTCCTTTTGGTACAGTAACTGCTAACTCTAAAATGACTTTTTCCACTGAGAGTCTTAAGAGAGCTGTTGAAATGAAGAAACAAAACAACAGATGTTACCAAATATAAGCACCGGTAAGTATCGACTGAAAAATAACAGACAAACGATAATACAAGCACTTAGACATTTAGACGATATAAAAAGGCACAAAAGCATGTGCCATTTTCAAGAAAATACGGTACCCAAAGGCACTAATTGACACTATGGATTAAATAATGTCACTAACAGTGGGGGGAAAATGGCTTTTTCAATTTCCAGAAATGCAGAAGAGCATCAAAATCCTTTTCATTCCCATGACATATTAGCAAAAAAGATTTTAAACATTTCCTTTAAAAGAAAGAAAGGGAAATAGCTCTAGAATAAAACCATAGATTTTAAGGTTCAGCTCAAAGCAAATTTTTATAGCAAAGTTATAAATTCGTGAAAACAGGGATGAATTAAAGAGGAAAAAGAGACAATGCTAATTCTAGTGAAATACTACAGCAATAATAATAATATTGTGATCATTTGAAGGTGCAAGTTGATGTCCCAATTCACATTCTTGACTACAAAAATAAACTATAACCAAAATTTTTTAAAGGAAAAGTCATGCACAAGAGGACAACATATTGATCAGAAGGAAGGATATTTCTAGAAAATGTCACTTGCTAGTCATAGGAACACATTTGAGCCTAGAAAAGGGGTACAGTATGTGGCATTTAAGATGAATGTAAATCTGGGGGTATATCTATACTACGGTATCCTGGAAAAACTCTGCTGCGTCCCAGTGCCTGGTGGGAAAAGCGTGTGGTTGCTGCAGTGGCTCTGGTGAGACCCAGGGCAGTTCCAAGTGGGGGCGGGGGAGCAGGTTTGGGCAGGGAGAAAAAAAATCACTTCCACGGCTGCCTCTCTTAGTTCGTTTCCTCTTCAGCAGTTTCCTCCAGCTGAGAGGGTGGCTGAATCTGGAGACATGCATCACTGGGGGGGGAGCAGTTGCTCCTAGGCACCACACTGGGGGGGGGAGCACCAAGCTGGGGTGGGAGCGCATAGCCCCATGCGGTGAGCCTGTTGCTGGTGGGCCACTTGCTCCCTACAGACAAGCCGTCGAGGCAGGGCTGGGCAGTGGGAGTGGGCACTTCAGAGGTAGGGTTACCATATGTCCAGTGCCTGGCTCTGGGGGAAGGTGGGGTGCATTGGGTTAGACCAGGGAGGCTTGGGGGTGCCTGGCTCTGGGGGAGGGGGAGGGGAGGTGCATTGGGTTAGAGGGGGGGCTGAGGGTGCCTGGTTCTGAGGGTACTTGTACATTTTTTTTAAAGGTGTCCTTTTATTTAAAAAAAAAAAAAAGTTGAGAAACACTGATCTAGACCATCCCTAATAGTTGTTTGTCTTAGCTGCTCTTAAATATCTCCAGAGATGGAGATTCCACAACCTTCCTCGGCAACTTATTCCAGTGTTTAACCACCCTGACAGTTAGGAAGTTTTTCCTAATGTCCAACCTAAACCTCCCTTGCTGCAGTTTAAACCCGTTGCTTCTTGTCCGATCCTCAGAGGCCAAGGAGAACAATTTGTCTCCCTCTTCCTTGTAACACCCTTTTAGATACGTGAAAACTCCTATGATGTCCCCTCTGTCTTCTCCTTTCCAAACTAAACAAGCCCAATTCTTTCAGTCTTACCTCTTGTATGAGATGAGTTGAAAAATGCAATTTCTTTTGTTTATCATTTTACAGTGAACATTTATTGTTTGCTGTCCGTATATTATTTGGCCAATATACATGGCAGAGGGGGCATTACTGCCCCTTGATGGCATATATCATGTTAGTGGATGTGCAGGTGGATGAGCCTGATGGTGTGGCTTATGTGGTTAGGTCCTGTGATTATATCACTTGTGTAGATGTGTGGACAGAGTTGGCAGTGGGGTTTGTTGCAGGCATAGGTTCCTGGGTAAATGTTTTTGTGGTGTGTTGTGTAGTTGTTGATAAATATTTGCTTTTCAGGTTGGGGAGGGGGAGCTGTTTCCAGGTTCAGCCACCCTCCCAGCTGGAGCTGGCCAGCCTCCCAAGGACCGTGAGAGTGAGAGATCATTTTCCAGGATAGATTGTAGATTGTCAATGATGCTCTTGAGGAGTTTAAGCTGGTGGCTGCTGGAATGGAACCACCATATCCCTCTGTAGCAGTGGTTGGCAACCTATTTATCATTGTAAGCTGCGTATGTCCCTCTGGGTATGTCTACACTAGCCCCCTAGTTCGAACTAGGGAAGCTAATGTAGGCATTCAAAGTTGCAAATGAAGCCCAGGATTTAAATATCCCGGGCTTTATTTGCATCTTCTCGTCCGGGCGCCATTTTTAAATCCCCCTGGGCCGAACTAACTGCCCGCGGCTACACACAGCAGTCAAATGTTAACTCAAACTAAGTCCTTAGTTCGAGTTAACTGTTACACCTCATTCCACGAGTTAACTAGAATGAGGTGTGACAGTTAACTTGAACTAAGGACTTAGTTCGAGTTAACGTTTCACTGCTGCCTATAGCTGCGAGCAGTTAGTTCAGACCAGGGAGATTTAAAAATGGCGCCCGGATGGGAAGATGCGAATAAAGCCCGGGATATTTAAATCCCAGGCTTCATTTGCAACTTCGAATGCCTACATTAGCCTCAATAGTTCGAACTAGGGGGCTAGTGTAGATATACCCTCTCTGTGTTATGTGAGCTGCATCCATACAATATATATATACACTACCTGTATGGCTCTGAGGATGTCATATAGGCTACATCATGTGTGCTGACTGGGCCAAAAGCGGTCCCCAGGGTACTGGTTAAAAACTACTGCTCTATAGGTTGGTGAGCAGTTTTACTAGCCCAGGAAGGAAAACAGAGCTTTAGGCATTAGCCTTTTAATGACATTTGATTTATCGTCTACAAAACAAAAATCAGTCCTCCATGCACAATCCAAAATCTGAGAGAGAAACTTTCTTGCATATTAATAAGATAAGAAAAGAGGAGAAATTGTTAAACACCAATATGTTTTTTTTTCCCCGTCTTAAAAATATCTTAAACACTCGTGCCCAAATGTAGTGGTGAAAACAATGGGTTCTCTATGCTTAATACAGGAAATACCTTGTACTCTGATGGTCTAGCAGCAGATTATTACTGAACTATCTAGTGAATTTGGCAACGCTTTTAATCTGTGTCTGTTAATCTGTAACTGTATCTTCTCACCACTGCACTGTCACTTGTATTCTTTTACTAAATCACTATAGTAACAAGTTTTATTGTTTTTTCTTCAGATCACACACCATGTCAGGAAGGAGACCATAGATGTATTGATACTTCCTGCCCTGATTCTTGTGGCGTCTCTTCTCTCTGTGACATGAACAATAGCCAGACAAATTGTAGTAAGTAGATCGTGTGTTTCCTGCCATTGTTGTCTCAGGACACAATTCCAGAGAGCTTTCACTGTAATTGAATTTATGAAACTACTGGCAGAATACAGAGGGAAAGAATCTTTTAATTTCAGTTTAATCTGATGACTAATGATTGCACGTCTAGCAGTCAAGTTGTTGAAATGGCCTTGGTTAGGCTGAACTAGAAACAAATCTGTTACCTTGACTCATAAGTAAGTTATCATGCACTTGTTAACAGCTTAATGATATTTGACCCTACATTTTTTTCTCTTTGCATGTTTTCTTTGCTTTGTTCTTCTGGATGGACGTTCATTGTTGCATTTTATTTAAGTAAAGTTAAAGAACTCTAACGTGTATGAAGGAAACAAAGTATATAATCTGTATAGGTCTCCAAAGACAAAATACACTCCAGTCATATAGCATGTAGCAAATATATACCTTAATAGGTGGCCAAGCATAAGGACAATATTAAACTGGAATAATAAAATATTAAAATTTACTCTGTACAGCTGTTAATTTAGGCTAAGTGAGGTATCAATAAAGAATATGTCAGTTGGGTACTATGGTTTGAAGAGAAGTGTAATTGTTTTCTCCCAAGGTGCCACTTGGAACTGGCATGACTCCTGTTCTGCCAGTGCTCCCTGTTACACTGTGCTGCTATGAAAAGTTGCAGACTTGCTCCTGGTCCTGCACTTGTTCCTGCATTCACACAAATAGTGACACACTCCGCTACAGTTTATATGCAGGCTGACCAGCAACTGCATGAAACAACAATAAAGAGGTTACAGCCAAAATAACCACCACCTTCTCAGCTAGGACCCCAGTGCTGTATTGTCTGGTTCTAGTGAAAATCCCAGCCAATGTGAATTTACTATCCTGTTTGTTTCCTCCCCAATGTGGAGAAGAAATGCACCAGCCTCCGCCCCTTGAGCTATGAATTTCAAGCACTTCACTCTAAACTTATTTGTTTAGGTTAACACACAAAATAAATTTATTAACAAAAAAGGATAGATGTAAAGTGATTATAAGTGATAGGAAACAGATCAAAGCAAACTAGTTAGTAAATAAACAAAACCACAAACTAAACCTGAGATCCTAGAAAGATAGAATATGAATTAGCAAAATTCTCACCCTTCTTGATGATACAAGCAGGATGACAGATTCCCAAGATACAAGTAACACTTGTTTATAATGTGGAATTCCCATGTTTTTCATACACAGGCTAGACATCTCTTGCTGGGTTCAGCACTTCCCCCTGTCTGTCTTTTGTTCCTCAGATATTTCCAAGGTTCTTTTTTCATAGGGTCTGAAGAACAACAGATGGTGTCACTCCCTACCTTATAAAACTCAGTTTGATGAAGTCCAGAGTCATGTGTCTTGTGCCCTTCCATACCCTGCTCAGTCATAGCAGCCATTACTTATAGGTTGTCTGGAACATTAAGTTTTTGCAGGGTCCATTTTCTTTGCTGATGGGCCATTACACTGCCTTGTCTTCTTCATTGTATCAGAAAGTCTAGTTGTGGTTGTTATCCAGAATAAGCACATTTGAAATGCAGATACATAGTCAATATACCTGACTTTAGATACAAAAATGACAAATGCTTACAGACAGGATAATTGTATTCAGCAATTCATAACTTTTCCACTGACACCTCACATGATTCATCCTTTACAAAATGCATCATAATTATGCCCAAATAATATCATCATAATATCACTGCAGGAATTTTAAAGAAAGATGAAAAGAAAGGGTGAAGAGCATGGGGAATATTCCCTCTAGGAATAGATTGTTTATGGCAGGTTTGATGTATCATCATTGGTGATTGGTTTACTAGGATCAGGCAAAATGATTTTGAGGAGTCAGTTGAACAGATATGAAGAAAATTGGAATTTAGCTCATAGATCAGGTTGGAATGGTTATTTCAGTTGTAAATGAGCTATTCAAGGGCTGCCACTTTGGCCATGTTTGGGTACCAGTTTCATAGGGAAGTTGATAATGATTTCTGTATCATTTCAGATTCAGTGCAGAAAACTGCAGCCCCTTTCACTCCCTCATATTTAGTATGGTCTATGCAGTTTGATTAATCAAGATATTGAGTGGCCTTAACTTAATTGAAGACCATGGGAGCTAGGGTTTTCAGCACGTCGCAGAATGAGTCCTGAAGTGAGCATATTGACTTTGGCAGATCATGTAGGACAAAGCCTCAGGGATTTGGGAATGTTATTCCTAAGGATCTTATTAATTATTGCAGAATCATAGCAGTGTTATTCTGACCTTGTAGCATATGGCATGATTGATAAATTGTCTCATTTTTATGTTTAATGGGGTATAAGAAGGGCTGTCTCACAGCAGAATTATTGCAGCAGTGTCTGGTCCCAGCTCTCTTCAGCTGGTAGTAACAATGCCAGTGTCCTATGACTTTGAGGGAAGACTTCATCTCCTTTAACCAATGTTGTGTTTTCCTGCAAAAGGTTTGTTTACTTGGACAGTGCTGAATTTGCCTATAAAGATATAGCTTTCCTAAGAACTAGCACATTATTAGTTTGAGTTGGTGCTTCCCCGCTGTTCTTTGCTTATTTGTTATAACTTTCATAGGCCAAAGCTGAGTTATGGGCTTAAGATTTAGCTATGGATTATGAGTTTAGTAGTCTGATCATTTCAGATGTAATCAGGATAAAATATATTATACAGGTAAGTTGGCCTCAATGAGAAATTTTTGGAATATGCGCATTTTGGTTTATTTTTAGAGGGGAAAAATGGCTTCGATCAAGTATTTTTCTTTATTTCCAACCAGTTTTACTATAAAGAAATTTATTTTTCTAGAACAACCTGTTGCAGGCACCATCCCCATGTAAAACATGACTAGTATCTGTGCAGTAACTTTGAAAATTAGTAAGAGCAGAGGCTACCTTTCACAGCATTCAGTATGGCCTGAATGCCCTCTGGTCATCGTAATGGCCAGTCCTTTTGGGCTGGCGTTATAGTGTAGCCATGGCTTCTTTATAATGATAGTACAGATGTCTTAAACCAGTAGTGTGCAATCTACAACCCCCTGGGGCACCACCTGTGGCCCATGGACCCTCTCTACCTTCTCCCATGTGCCTCTTTTGCACTAAGGTACTGGAGCCCCACAATTTCTACTCCCACCCCCTGGCCACCTGGCAGCACTTTTGGAGGGGCCACAAACAGTGTTCCCTCTAACTTTTTCTATATTTGGGCAGGTTGTGTTTTCTTTTGGGCAGGTTGAAATTTCTTATGTGCAACACCAATATTGAGGTAGTGTGTGGATGTGCATCAACAATACAAACAACACACACACATATAAATAGTCTATATGCGTGAAAGAAAATATATTAAAACAATGGATAGTTAACAAAGCGCTTATGATATTTAATATGAAATCAAATAAAAAAAGAAAATTAATATTAACCTGGGAGTAAATGTATCATCATCCTTTCTAATAACTCAGTCTAGTAAACACACAAAAATGCATATTATCCACACGCAGCACAGATTTAAGCTGCTAAACAAATCTGTGAGTGAACTAGAAATAGTATCTGCAAGGAGAGCATGACTAATACAATATTTACTGCCACTGAAAAGGAGAGTGTAAAAGGCATTCACTAAGATTTATGCAGTTTCTCTGGGGAATGTTTAGGGTTAGGGTGAAACACAGACCTGTAAAAACAGATAAAAGTTGTCCTGGTTTGGAACTTTCACCTTGCGTGCACCACCAACTCAAAGAGTAGAAGCTCCTGAACAAATTAACACATGGCTTCAGGGTTTGTAGACAGATGCATGTTTCAAAGAGCTTGCAAATAAGGTTTCATCCTACAAACCAACTAGCACCACACAACATTTGCTACTTCTGACTCCTAAGAGCCAGAACTCTACCACATGATCTGGACTTAATGCAATACAATATACCGTGTATTAATTAGAAACACAGGATTTTAAAAAAATCATTAAGGTCAGAGTTTTAAATATCTGCAACACTCCAAAAAATTCTGTTAAAAGAATCTTTTTCCTTCTTACCTTAAGCCATGAACACTTATGTAAACTTTGTTTGAAACGTAGAAATCATGCAGATGTCCTGCCACCCCACCCCCATGCAGCCTGGTTCCCTCAACCCAGCCATACAGAGAGGACTGCGTGAGTCTGGACATCCCAAACAAACTGCCCTCTGCCTCCACCTCACTGTACAGATGCCAGCACTCTTTTCCCCCCCCCCTTTTTTTTCCACCTACCCCTGTGCAATCTGCTTCCCCCAGCATGGCTGGGATAAAATCCTGCTTCTCAAACTTGCAGATACAAAGAGCCTATAGGGGACACAGCACAAACAAACTTGTCACCCCTCCTCCTCCTAACACTAGGACACACAGCACAAACAAACTTCTCCCTTCTTCCACCTCACCCCATTGCCAGTACCCACCCAACCCCTTTTTTTTTCCACCTATTCCATGTAGTCAGTCCTGTACCTCCCTCTTCCCAGCTCAGAAGGCTTGAGGAGAGTGCCGAGTTTCTGCCTCTGTGCCTCTCTCTCTCTCCTCATGCAGATGGGACTCTCCAAACTCCACTACCCCTTACTCTTCCCTAGCCAGTTACTCCTTTCCTCACTCCCTCTTTTTCTTCATTCCTTCCCCCCTCCCCTCCCTACCCCACTTATTTCCTCCTTATCTCCCTCCTTACCTCCTACCTCCATTTCAAGAATGCATACCCTATCTTACCTGCTTTGAGAGCTCTTCCATTTCAAGTGTGCAGCAGCTCCCTTAAGCTGAGACACCTCTTCCCCCACCAGTTAGCTGAAGTCCCTGCCTGTGAAGGAGCTCTGAACCTCTGAGCAGGGTTCAGAAAACAGCTGCAAAGCTGCACAGCTTACAGGGAATGTTGGCCATGAATCACCTGGTTTGCGCTCTGTCCCTGCTTTCTCCCTCCCTCATGGAACTGGAATGCCATGAATCAGCTGTTTGCAGCTGTCCACGCTTGGAGGTGAGGGGGAGTGGGGACAGAGTGCAAATCAGGTGATTTATGGTGCTTCAAAAGTGCAGGGAAAAAAGGAGTAGGATGTGTGGGGCTCCAGTGCCCCAATGTAAGAAGCTCATTGGATAGGGGTGCGGATAAAGATCCATGCGCCAGTGGGCTGTGGGATGCTGCAGCCTACTGAGATAAATTAGGCCCACTCATGTGGCCTACTCACTGTTTTTGGTTGCCCATTCTGTCCTAGTCACATCTTTTAAGAGTGCATCAAAGGAAGCTGATGGAGATACTATTGTCATATCAGACATCCTTGTATCTAATATATTGAATGCTTTTATTCATATCCGGGACTAATATTTTGTTCATGGTTAAGGCCCAGACAAATTATTGTATATTTTAATACCAATTTTAAAGTTACCCTGGTCCTGCCACAGTGAAGGAAATGAGACCTACTTTAAGAAGCTAGAGGGTATTATGTGTTCAAATAATCAGAATCTTGTAATTATTTATTTCCAATTTAATCTATCTTTACAGAATGCATGTTCTTTTCTTTCAAAAGGTCAGTGTGAACCAATTACTCTGGAGCTCTGCATGAACCTGCCTTACAACTATACTAACTACCCAAACTACTTGGGCCATAGGACTCAGAAGGAAGCCTCCATCAGCTGGGAGTCTTCCCTTTTTCCAGCGTTGGTTCAGACTAACTGCTACAAGTATCTCATGTTTTTTGCGTGTACAATCTTGGTACCAAAATGTGACCCTCAAACAAATCAGCGTATCCCACCCTGCAGGTAACGTGACTACTTCCTAACTGGATTCTTGACTAGTTTCATTCATCTTCAAAATTAACTCTGTTTCTATTGAAATCAGGGTTGGATCCATATTTTACAAACTGAAGAGTATCTTTCATTATATTCATGTAATTGTTTTTGAAATATTTAAAGACATAGATAAAGAAAATCAGTTAGAATACTTACAAGGTTGTATATTTCACTAATCTTGTTTTAGATAGTAGAAAAGAATTGCACAAATATAAGGGATATAAAAACATGCAATAAGTGAAGAGTTCAGCTAGAAATACAGCTATTCATAATAGTGCTTAGTTCATATAGAAAGCTTTATATATTCAGAGCACTGTACCAAGTATTATCTAATGAAAGACCAGATTTGAATGTAATGGACTTTTTTCCAAAATTGGAGAGCAAGTACTGGAGAAACAGTCCAGTTTTGCCCCATGGGTTTTTTTGTGTAAAAACTAAAATGCTTCTTAGTTTATCAGTCCAAGGACTTCTCTGGTTATTTCAGGCGGATTGAAAGAGGATTATTGAAAATTACTGTATGTGTCCTATCATAGTGCTGGGATGAGAGCCGAGGGGATTCTGCCTTACCATCTGGCTGGACGTGGTTTGCCTTATATACAGAGTTTACAGTTTGGTTAAGTGGTTCTCAGCAACCCCACTATAAAAATTGTGAGAGCAGCACTTCTGTGTCCCGTGGTTTCCTACAGTATAACGCTGGGAAGCTATCTAGAGCTATTCCTGTTAAGTTATTTAATGGACTGTGTTTCTTTGCCTAGTGATCAATTTTCTAGTGGGACCTAATAATATTCATATTGAAAACTAATTACGCACCACTAATTGATATGCTTAATTCCTGCATGGGAATCTACTGTAGTTGGAAGGTTAGAATAATGCACATAGCATAGAGACTGATAATGAACCCTAGTGGATCAAGAAGGGTTATTAAAGTGAATTGCTCAAGTATATCCCACAAATGTGTGCTTGACAACCAAAAACATAATTTTTAAAAAGTGATTCCAGTTTTTTAAAACCAGAGTTAGTAGGTGTGTGTGTGTGTGTGTGTGTGTGTGTGTGTGTGTTTAAATGAAGGAAAACAATGAGATTATATGGGCTTCAGGGCACGGAATGTATTTCTGTCTGCCTAGCAAATTAGGGGCTCAATAATAGCTGTAGTCACAAAATGTCAGTTGTTTAGTTTTCATAAAGCTGTTTTTTTTTTTTAATGTTAGTAGAACAATTTTTAAAAATGTATCGTTTTTCTGCCCTAGCATAGACCATTAACAGAGAATTAATTTTAACAAGGGAAGTTTTGCACAGAGATAAGCATTCGAATTTCTAATCAGTGTTGCCATTATAAATATGAACTAAGTAGTAAATTGTTGTATTTGGTTGAATTCACAAATTATATTGATTTAGGAAGAACTGTGGACAAAGTAATAGATGGAAATAGAGACAAATATTTGGAATCTATGAAGAAATTATTCATTCTAGTGGACTGAGGTATAGCTTGGGTACATTCAAGGAACAGAAATATAAATCATTTAAATATTTTATTGCTGTCTGAAGCTGTTAAAGTCAGATTATTTATTTACTTTCCCTTGAAAAATTCTACGAATAGACTATTTTCCTATAATCTGCTTCACCCTTTGCAAATTAAGCACACCCACATTCATTGATACCACAATAGTGATTAATTGATTTGAACAGTGCATGCATTTTGTTTGACCTTTTTCTGTAAATATTAAACAAAATTCAGCTAATGCAATTTTCTCTGTGATAACCTTTCTAAGTCCAAGTGCAATTTACAAACCTGGATTTCAAACTCACTTTGTAATCATTCATCTGTTATAACATATATCCATCTGATGAATATAAGATTTATTGATACTGGGGTTACTCATCTCTATTTTCTATTCTAGTAATTCTGTTTTCTATGTATGTAACAGATGTCCTTGCTTTGTGAGGAACACCTAATTTATCACTTTATTATTTTAATCATTATGCTTTTATTTTAGTGTAGGAGAAGGTCATGTACAACAAGGGGAACATGATGAATATGTTTTTGTAAATTAAAATGGCCATTAAGGCAGCTATCGTGTGTGAATTCAAATTCTATGCAATGTAGTTTACCTTCAATGGGACATTCGTGGTACCAGTCCTGAGGCTAAACTGTACATAGCTGCCCTTTCAAGATTTTCAGATGACATTTTTATTTGCAAGTAGTTCCTAGAGACTGGTTTGTGGGGGGTGTTTGGGGTCTGTGGGGTGAGGTGTTGGAGTGAAATTGGGAAGGGTCCTTTATTCTTGCAAAACATCCCTCTAGGGCCTTGTTGCACCATTTTTATTTCAGTTTACTTTTAAGCAAGTTTAATATTCATGGATGATGCTAGATTTAAAATCCTGGAGACTGAAATCACTGACTTAATACACAATAGAGAAAGCTTCCTTACTAGTTTCTTTGCTGAACATCATACATGTTCTCTGCTACCCATTTCTTCCTTGGACTTTTTGTTGGCTCTGCCAGCTAATGTGGTAATTTTGTTTCCATTTTGTTGTAGTTACCTACCCGCCAGGCTTCTGCGCAATCACAGGCTCCTAGCACTGATCGTGGCCCCACCTTCCAGCCTTTCCCCTTCCCACGCCAGGCTTCCATCTGGTGCACGTGTCCAGTATTCTCTGATATTTTTTTTTACTGGACAAAGAGCGCAAATACTGGACTGTCCGGTAGAATACTGGACACCTGGCAACCCTAACTGGAACAGTAAAATGCATCATTATTGTTCCTCTAAATCATGTGCTGTTTTTTCTTGCTATATTGTAAGGAATTAATATGTGCGCTGTTATTGGCTTCAGACATATATTTGACATGTTCACTGAATTTTAATTCTTCCCCCAAAATTAAAACTGAATGTCTTGCAGCAGTTACTAGAAACTCTCTCCTTTGAGGGAAGGTTGGTTTTTTGGAGGGGTGAGATTGAAGGAGCAGGAATATGTTGAAGGCACAAGTTACTCAGATGTTTCAGGAAAACTAGACCAAAACTTTTTAAATCTACTTTATTATTTCCACTGCCTTTGCTGTCATCAGAAAATAAACAGAGCAGAAAACACTGGAATTCAGAAGATTCAGGCCAAACTACAGAACAATGTAGGGCAACTGTTCAAATGTGATTTGAATCAACACAGTTGTTTGGTGGAGAGGCAAATCTAAAAGGAAACAGATTACTTCTGAGTTGTAACAGCCAGATGATTTTAGACCATTCTATAAAATGAATCTCTTTATAGTACACTGTGCCTCATTTCAAGTGGGCATAAAAATAGAGTTCGGATTGTTCTCATTCTAAGTGAATGCTGATAAAATCACATGTAAAATAACTGAATGGATTGTTGTGGCTAACTGAAAAGAATATGCAGATGGCATTTGCTTTTACAAAAGATAGCTGCTATTATCCACACTAGTTTGCAGCACTTGCCACGTAGGCAACTTATTTTGCAACTTCTCTTAGCAGAGTGCACTCGTTTTTACACATACGCTCATACACTACATTCTTACTCTTTAAATGAAGGGTTGATTGTTTAGGCACAGAAACAAAATTGAATCTTATTTTTTTAACCTCCCCTCCTCCCCCAATCGAAATTAAGTTTGAAACTAATACTGAAAAGATTATGATGCATTATTGGTACAGTATATGACCTTGCTTTAAACAGCATGTAAACTATTGGTCACTCATTTTCAAAAATGGCAGAACAGAAAGAGAAGAGATCCAGAGAAGAACTATGAAAAATGATTAGTTGCATGGAATGATTTGTTACATGAACCAAGATTTAAAAGATCAGCGCTGTTTAATATAGAGAAGAGCCAAATTAAGGTGACCTGACAGAAGCGCACAAAATATTCAGAAGGTAAATTGGACCTTCCCATTAAAAATCTTTCTCATAATACAAGAACTAAGGGTACATTTACTAAAGTTGAAAGAGATTTATAATGGATAAAATATAACACTTTTACAGGATATACAAATAACAAGTGGAACTCACTGAAAAAAGATATAATTGAAACAAAGACATTTGTAAGAGTCAAAAAAGGACAATTTCATTTTCTAGAATAGTCTAAAAATCAACTATTAATGTAAAAATATCATCTGCAGTTACTCAGCCAGAATAAAAAAATTATAGGCATATCAGCCCCTGATAGACAACATAAGCTAATCAATAGTTGCCTGTGATTAGAAGGAAACTTTGCTCATAGAAAAGTGATTGCAACATTTCCAGTTATGTGTTTTCTCTCCATACAATTGAAGTATTTGACACTGGCCACTCTGAGAAACAGGACACTAATCTAGATGAGCTATTGATCCAATCTCCTGAGGCAATTCCTATGTTTCCATGTTGGAAAAAATATTCAAAATCAACATAATTTTCTTGCCTCTTTATAGGCAGGCCTGATACAGGTGTTGATGGTCAAAGTGACCACACCCTCAAATTAGGTCATGTGGTCTCAAACCATCTTCTTTTTATGAAATTCACTGAAAAGTCTTTTGCTCTTTTATTTTCCAAGTCTGAAATCTGTACTGCTTGGTACCGCAGGATCAACTCAGCCCTACAACCTTCTGTGCAGCAAATAGTGCACTAGAACCCTGTGAGTGAGTCTCTGAAAAGAGATCTTAAATATCCAGAATCTGATTGTTCTCCATTAACATTAACATTTCTTATGACACTTCTTTGTAAGATAAGACATGATACATTCATTGTCCATGGCCAAAATTGTCCTTCTCTGCTAGTTGTTGTGCAGTGTACTATAGCTGCTGCCCTCCGCATCATAAAAGACAGTATTTCATTGGTGCAGTATGTATGCTTTCTGTGAAGTGCTTTGGAATCCTTCGGGAGGATAGTCTCAGGGTAGTTGTGAAACATTTATATTGCTACATGGATTCATTCAAGAATTTCTTCTAGAAGAATATCTTTTCCTCATCTTTCTGCATAGAATTGAGTTTAGTATCTTTTGCTTTAAGAATGTCTCCTCTGCATTTTCATCTGAACAAAGGGTGTTTGTAAGAAACTTTATAATTACTGTTATGACTTTTATGGTATGACGCAGGCAATAGTTTATCATAATTTTCTTAACAAAAAATAACAGCGATAACATATTGAATATATTTTTCTTTCGTCTAGTAAAAGTTTAATGCGTGTAAGGAAAGCTTTCTTTCATATAAGGAAGATTAACAGCTTTTTTCCCCCCCATCATCAAATCCTCAGCTAGGAGAGTGTTTCCAGCATACCTATCTTGTCATGTTTTTCCATCCGTGTCTTTACTTACGCTCTCCAATTCATCCCTCCAGAGTGCTGTGTGAACATTCCAAGGAACGCTGTGAATCTGTGCTTGGGATTGTTGGCCTGCAGTGGCCAGAAGACACAGACTGCATTCAGTTCCCAGATGAAAACTCAGACAACCGAACTTGCCTAACACCCGATGAGGATGTAGAAGGTTGCATGTTATATTCAATATCCAAGTATAAGTATTCTAAATTTGTAGTTTGCTGTAAGTTAGCAATCTCATTTCATACTTTTAATACACCCTCTTTACATTACATTATGTCAGGTAGGTAAATTAAATTATCCATATGGCTGATATGCTGTGGAAATGATTCAAAATCAGATTTGGGAGATAGTGGGGTGATATGAGTTAGAATATCAGCATTATGCTTATGATCCCCTCCCCTCTTTAATCTCCCTTTCGTTTGATTAAGATGTAGGTGTCTCCACAGTCTCCTGGTGTTTGCTTGGGATTGGATCACAGATGAAAGCCATTTGTGTCTCGGTCATCTAGCTAAGAAAAATATGATGAGCTATGATGCTTTTTGTTAGTCTCTAAGGTGCTGCAGGACTATTTGTTTTTTAAGAGTTGGGGTTTTTTGGGGGGGGAGGGTTGTATAGGGAAGGTTTCTGAGGCTTCAGCAAAGAGTATAGCTGCATCCAAGGAGTTTACCTGCAGATCACTTGATTGATTGATTCTTAATTCCTGGATTTTGAGATTGCATCAATAAGCAAATCTACCTTTTTTTATATGTTCACAAATGTTATTTGTACACACCTTTGTTATCTCTAGGCTAGGCTGCTGCAGGGTGCATTGCCTGAACTACCCTGGTTAATGCATAATATGATTTAAAGCCTTTTGAGTGGACCAGGACAGTGAGAACATATTACTACCTATATGCCACATACTGCACCAAATGTCTGTGTGCCTAAATCACGGTGAAAGATATGTATGTATCATAAAATAATTTATACCGAGAAACTGGAAGACATAGGAATACATTCAGCCTTAAACTATGTCATGCAGCAATTTGATGGGAGAAAATAATCATCCATTTTTACAGGTTGAACCTCACTGGTCCAGCATCTTCAGGACCTGACTGGTCCCAAACAAAGGGATTTGCCGGACCAGGGGACGTCTCTCCCCTCGAGGCTGTGCTGCCACCAGGCTGCCTGGGACTCTCTCCGGCCCCGCTGCTGCAGGGGTTGGAGCGCCATGGCTAGAGCTCCGCAGCCTGGGCAGAACTCCACAGCTACCTGGCTCTGCAGCCGGCGCAGAGCTCTGCGGCTGCCGCTGGGGCTGGAGTTCCCCAGCTGCAGGAGCCAGAATGTGGCCAGAGCTTCCTGGCTGCCGCTGAGGTCAGAGCTCCCTGGCTGGGGCCAGAACTCCTCGCCCCTTTGCCCCACTCTCTGGGTTCCCAGCTGAGTCACCGTTGCCCCATTATGGCACTCCTGTCCTGCCATCAGACCTCCCTCTTCCTGGGTTCTGTGTTCCATGAACATCTTGATCTATGCCGGACCACAGATATTGCTAGACCAGGGATTCTTGGTTAAGGGAGGTACAACCTGTAGAAGGTACTATATGGGGAAGTACAATCAAATTTCTGGTACAAGATATCCTGGTGAAAATCCTCAGTTGTAGAAAAATAAGGTGATGGTAATCTGCAGTGCATAAATTAACTTCTATCGCTCCTCAGTATGGAGCAGAAACTTTTGATTTTGCGTGGTAGAACTGAATTGGATACATTTTAAAATGTATGTTTTAAGATAGTAGTGAATTGTTTACAGAGTTAAATTCGGTAACAACATTTTTTCATAATCTTCTTTAAAGTCCCTTTCCAGGATGTCTTAGTTAAATTATTAAGACAGAATGTGGCTACTGGGTTAAGTACTTGGCTGTCTATTTCTTAGCTTGTCATTGCCACTATCTGTTAGACGTCCTTATAGAACAAATCACAAGAGAAATGTGTACTGTTACTCTTTTATAAATAGCCTAATAGCTTAGTAAAACAATGCTATCAAAGTTCTCCTTACACTGACTCATAGCTAATATTTCCTATTTGTTTAATGAAAGATTTGCCCCATCTTCCAGTGTTAGAAAGACAAGCCTTCTTTGAAAGTTTAAAATACTGAAATACGTGTTTCAGAAGGACACAACAGCAGAAGAAATGACACTTTTGAAAACCTTTTAAATATCAGTGATTCAGGCTAAAATTTAGGCACATGAATTTTTAGGAAATGCACGGACAAGTCACAGGCAGTAAACAAAATATCACAGCCCTTACTCTGTCCATGTGTTATGCCATAAATGCACCTGGCTAAATCTTGGGGGGAGGGGGAGGCACTGCAGTAGGGGAGTAATTCTGCAAGGAAGGGCACTGCTGCAGGGGGAGCACCACTGTTGGGGAGAGTGCCCCAGGCAGCCATTGCTCTCAGGGGCTGCCAAAGCATCAGCTGTTCTGGTCACCCCAAGGACCACTATCAGGGACCAGCAGTGGCCAATGCAGTTGGCTGTGGGGCCACCCAGGTGGCTGGCAGCAGAGACGCTCCAGCAGTGGCCTGTGTGGTTGTCCCTTGTGTCACCTGAGCAGCAGGCCCCTGAGCCAGCTGCTTGGGCAGCCCTGGGATCAGCCACACTGGCTGCTGCGGAAATGATGAAGGCCATGGAAAGTCATGGAAACTGCAACTTCCACAACTTTCATGGCAGACACAGAGTCCTATTACTGGTAATTATTACAGAACATAGGTGATTTGCTCACTTAAACAAAATCTGGCAAAAACACAACAGTACTGAATCATTTAACCCCTGAAAACAGTTACCTAACAATATGCAGTGAATCTCAGAATAAACTACTCTAAGACAGCATGTGAACTCAAATGCATTTACTCACAGCAGACTTTAGCCCCAGCAGAGATGGTAAACACAATTATTTTTTGTTTAAAAGAAAGTGGAAACCATTGCTATTTTGTTAAGCTCGTGAGTTTTATTTGTAACTTTTTTTCATATTGCACCTTAAAAGGTTGAATTGTATTAAATGCCTGCAGAGAACCAGCAGAAAAAGGAGGGCTGGGATGTTATTGCTAGAGAGTTCATAGAAGTCAAAGTTCCCTGGCTATAAAATGGGGACAAATAAGTGGATTTTCAAAAAATAAATAAAAAAAATTTAAGGTTTAGGGCCCAGAGTCTCAACAAGATTTCAAAATCCCTTTGAGTGTCTGGGACTTAGGCATTGCATTGTCTAACTTTTACAGACCTCTCCACCCAGTGGCTCCACAGCCCCAGGCTAAGTAGTTAGGTCCTCTTTACAATGCCAGGGAGAGTTAGGTAGCTAAGAATGCAATCCACAAAACCTAGCATGCTGAGCAGTCTTCATAATCTAGCCTCGTCTTTCTCAACCTATTTTTATAAAGTACCCCCTTTAAAAAAAATTGTAAGTACCTCCAGTACCTCCAGTTTACAGATACACAAAAATTTTTTCCACCATTTCAACGCATTTGTTTAAACAACTTAATTGTAGCCAGGCAGGCAATGAAATTTTTGGGTGTAAAAAGTACAAAAATAATAAAATGCTGTAAAACTTTAAAAAAAATCAGTTTTCTCCAAATTTCAGTTGTGTTGACGTATCCCCCAGACTTCTCTTGAGTACCCCAAAGGGTCCTCGTACCACTGGTTGAGAAACACTGGCCTAGCCAACAGAAAACGATGAGGACAGTGGTGTGGCCTGAACCTCTGCCCTCCCAAGGTATTAGGCTATATCTGGGCTGGAAAGGAGCTTGGGAGTCTCTCTCATTCTCTGCAGAGTCATTTTTAGTCTGTCTCTGATCCCACATATTTTTATTAATACAAAATGGAACTTCAACAAAAGACTCTGAAAGGGCCCTACACCAAAATATCCCATGGTTCAGTGGTTACAACACTCTCCAGAGAAATAGGAAGCCCAAATTCAAATCCAGATTGCATATCAGGCTGAGGAAGTAACTAGCAACATCTTGTGAGCTGCCTTAACCAGTGGGTCTAAAAGTTATAATGCAGGCCACCAACTTCCCCAGTGCTGTATGTGTATAAGCATACTCAAAGAAGTTTTACTGGATTGGGGCCACAGAAAGATAGGCAGGGGGACCCCTTGTTTGAGGCCTCCACTGGGGCTTAGGCAAGAGACGGGAGCCTAGTTGCCTAGACTGAGGTAACAATGTGAATACTCACTAGTGGAAACCTAGGTTCCTAGGTAGTTAAACGGTGAAAACTCAGCTATCAAGAGACATTAGGTGGCTTCAGGATTATGCAGCAGCTGAGCAGAAGTTTTAAGGATCTCAGTTGCACCTAAATTTTAGGAATATAATATCCTGTTGAATTGGTTAAGTGGTTAAATATAAAGTGATTAAACATAATGTTTAACCAGTTAACCAATTAACACCCTCTGTTGCCGGACTGAAGTGCAGATGGGGTCTGCTCTGGCTGAGCTGGAGCTCCCTTGCCCACAGTGCACCCACACCATGCCTTCCATGGACAAGAACTGCTCTGGCTAGGCTGGAGCACCACTTTGCAGGCGTTGGGTATTGTGGGGCTGCTCATAGCTGCTCACAGCAGGTGGGGGCTGGTCCAGCCCCCACCAGTTAACTGTAATCAGTAAGCCTCACCCATTAAGTTTAAATATTCACATCCCTACTAAATGTTGGACATGGGTATCTAAACCTTTTGTGAATCTAGCCCTTTTGTGAATCTAGTGACGTGGAAGTGAAAGGACAAATTGACTTTTAATGGGACTTTTTTTTTCTAAATCAGTAAGGCACTTCTGAAAATTCTTCCTGGCTACTGTGATGTGTGGGGAATACTTATTAAGGACGCTGATTTTTTTTTAAAATGACCTGGTAATTGCTAAATATTATTATCCCTTATAAAATCAACACACTGACTGGTTTACCTCTATCTGTTGAACACAATATTAGTGAACAACATAACTAGAAAATTGGTGACTTCAATCCAACAATATCTGCCAATAATGTTGTGAGGTTTGAAACGTGAGAGTACATGAAAAGATGGTAGTGGCCTATGGGAAAATCATGAAGTGTAAACCAAATCTTACCCCATCCTCAATATATTCATCAAGGATAGTTTCCATTTCTCTATAGTTTCAACTTAGTATCTAACAGGTTTTGTGGTCCTATCTTTTACCCTTTTTACTCAGTCATAACAATAAATAATAATGGTAATCAAAAAGTACTGTGTGATAATTTAAAGTTTTTCAGTCTGCTGAAAGTGTTACATTTTCTGACATTGACAGAGTGCTCACCTAGCCACTTCAAGTGCCGTTCTGGGAGGTGTGTCTTGGCCTCCAGAAGATGTGATGGTCAGGCTGACTGTGAAGATGATAGCGATGAGGACAATTGTGGTAAATAAATAAAATGAGCCAGCTGATTGAATGGCGAGCTGCTGGTGTGTGCAATGTATTTGAAAATTGAGTTTTTAATGTAAAAAGTTTGTGCTGGCCACGTTCTCCTTGCTGTACATCAGCATCACTTGTGAGACCGAAAATATGGAAGTCCTAGTAAGCCTGTTTCTAGACTGTGCAAATATCAGTTGATTTAGGAGGAAATCTTTAATGAGGGTTCAGGCTCAATTCCTCATTATATTGCTCCATCGATACTGATGGAGTTATATTAGGATAAAAAAATGAATGAATGTTGAATCGGACCTGGAATAGTCAAATACAGTTTTAAAAGTTTATATGTCAACATTCTTTTTATGATGGGTTGAACACTGGCTGGAGACCTTCTCATAGTCTAGTCTCTTTTACTGCAATGGGCTCTAACACTATCAAGTTTCAAGAATGTTGTGAATTTGCAGCTGTCAGTTGCCAGCAGTAGGTTCAAGCATGCCACTTGTAATAGCAAATTTTATTTTCAGTTTAATTCCAGAGTTCTTTCCAGGTGAAAAGCAACTTTTACTGCTTAAAAGTGGAGAAAATACTGTGGCTGAGCAACAACAAGGAGCAAATCCTCCCCTAGAAAATAATCTAGTTAATTAACAATTGTTCTGGTTGCTCTCCCTTCAAAATTATTATCATTGACACTTGCTTTTAACTCCTGAAAATGCTAATAGCTATGTATCTATCTTGATTTTAAGGTCTGAAATAGTACTTTGGTACATAAAACAAATTTCTTAAGTAGATTTTTTGGGTCTAGACAAAATGTCACTTGCAATCAACAGAATTTTTATCAGCTTCTATAAATATGGAAGGCTGCATCTGCTAGAAAATTACAGCTGTCACAGTGACATTACATTGACCATGGGTAATTCTGTTACTGAAGAACAGCCAATGCTTTTAGAGCTCTGGAAGTTGCTGTCTGTAGCTCATTCATATTCTTTGTGTGCAGAACAAACTCAAAGAGCATTAAACTTTCCCTGTGTAAATGACTAGCTCAGAATATATTGGATATATTATTTTTGAAGAAAAGAACATACTGTTTTTTATACAATTAGCTCAACAGGCTGTGTTTGAATAATGTATATTTTAGATGCCATAAATAACAGGAAGAGTAGTGGGTATCATGGTAGGACAGTCTGACTCACTATGGGTATGTCTACACTACCCCGCTAGTTCGAACTAGCGGGGGTAATGTAGTCATCCACAGTTGCAAATGAAGCCCGGGATTTGAATTTCCCGGGCTTCATTTGCATGAAGCCGGCCGGCGCCATATTTAAATGCCGGCTAGTTCGAACCCCGTGCCGCGCGGCTACACGCGGCACGGAGTAGCTAGTTCGGATTACGCTTCTAATCCGAACTAGCTGTACGCCTCGTTCCATGAAATGGTGGTGGTTGACCTCTGGTGCCTCTGGTGAGCTGGCACCACTATATTTAGCTGCACCTCCTCAGCTCTCATTGGCTGTGGATTGCCTTTCCCAGTCAATGGGAGCTGCAATCACTGGCACCTGAGGAGGTGTGGGTAACTATAGCAGTGAAGTCCCTCCAGTGGCTAACTTTGGACAACCAGATACAGCCTGCAGGCTGCTATTTGCCTACCCCTGGATTAGAACAAGGACACCCCAGCATTACTAGTGTAGAACAGTTAGTTCTGTGCAAAGGATAATAAACACTCTTCTGAATATTCCTGACAATCATCAAACCTTACATCAGGTTTGATGATGAGGTAGGCATACAAGACTTCAATCCTAGCAAACATTATGCATACCAGAGAGAAGAGAGGACCCCTATGGACCACCAGCTGTCTCTCTACTTCTAGTTCTACAGAAGAATAGTTGAGACTATATGTATGAACTGATGCTGAGTGCCCAATTGTTACTGCATTATTCATATCATCCAGATTGGAACATTTGGACCGGTGTTAACTATCTTCAGTAGAGGGTTCACAATTAAACAACAAACCTAATAATACTGGATCTGATCTTTGGACAAGAGCCTATCAAACCTCACTATGTTGTTAATTGGGAACTCTTAAGTAATCAATATAATTAATTCACTATCAATAAATCGGGCTACACTTGCACCTGGAAGCATGCAGGAAACCAAAAAGGGATTTAGGTATTGATGCTATCTGCCCTTCTAGAAAACAGCTGCATTGTATAAGGCAAAACATGTGCATTTACCCTACACAGGTGGTCCACGTGCCCCTTCCAACACGCGGCTTCATTTGCAACTGCGGATGACTACATTACCCCCGCTAGTTCAAACTAGCGGGGGAGTGTAGACATACCCTATGTTAGTTTATATCCTGTGACAAGATCTGCACAAGCCATATACAGCTTCCTCATTCTCAAGCTACCCTGGCTCGAGTGTAAGTTAGAGCAGCCTAAGGCTACCCTTAAATGACCACATGCAAATTGAAAATTGGCAATACAGCACTGTGCCTTTCCCTTCTCCGATGTGTCCTCTGTGGTTGTATGAGTTGCCTGGTTGTCTTAGGAGCTAGCTCTGCCAGATTCGCTCTAGGTCTAATTTCTCTATTCTACTAGGGATAGCAAATAGATAGCAAAAAGGTGGCAAACAGAAGTACTGTGGATGTGAAAGAGCATAACCTTCAAAATCAGCATTTTGTCATCTACGGTTTTCTGCAGCTTTAGTTCTCACTGTAGTATTGTAGCTGAAATAAAAAAGTCCTGTCATTTAACATTAAGGGCTCAAGTAATAACAATTGCACAATGAATATATCAGTGACAATGAGTTAACACACAATTTTAAATTACACCAAAGGTGAGTTAATACATGAACCCCATTCTCCCATCAAAATCAGGATTTGAGATGGGGGTTGTATACATGTAATTTGAGATGGGGATACGTTTTCCATAAACATTAAATTGAGAAAGTCGTCTTATAACAAATCCTTTTTCTACTGATGCTCATCAAAAAGGACACATTTGGTATGCAGAATAGAACTATGTCTTTTGCTGCAAAACCAGCTGGTATATCCATGGCCAGAGTCATTGAAATATAGACACTGAACTTCTGTTCCAACAGGGTGTCTCTGTTCCATTCAAAGATAAACAATGTTAATGCATTTATGTAGTGTCTTTGGGCGTGACAGTGCACTTGTCAGTAAAACTGCAAAATTTTTAAAAGTAATCAAGGGCAATAGTGAACGGATATATTTAATTAGTCGTAAATTCTTATGCTCAAGCATACTTATGCATAACTTTGGGCCTGTTAACAGTAAGTGCCTGGCAAGCTGGCATTTAAACTTACTGAGTACTAGCCGATGGTATACTAGCTGTCCATGTGAACCCTGCTATAGTGTACTAAAAGTTAATGTTGTACATTGAATAGATCAAATTGCTGTATGAAACCTTTATTGCGCAGCAGCAGTATTAATACACATAGCTACCACACAGCATGGTGCCTGATGGTTTTACAGTATATCACTGGCAGTAGTTTGGTATGGATGTTTTCCTGAGTTAGGGCCTAAATTGATGAAGATAGTATAGGCAAGGGATAAGTAAGAATAATTGGTCAAATTCCTACTCAAAGAGCAATGGAATATTATATATTTCATGCCCATTTGAAGAAATGTTTGCTTTGACAATCATACTTCTATTTCCTGCTCAGTAATGATTATTCTTGATACTTTTTAAATTAGCTATTGAAAATTGACAAAATTTAATGAATTCATGTAGATTTCAATTAAAATGAAAACATAAAAATGATTTATAATCATCAAAGTGATTTGTTCTGACGTTATCAAAATGGAACATTAAGATTTTTGGAAGCTAGATATAGAAGGAGATTCAGGCACCATTTACAAAACAGGAGGAGGAGGTGGTCTCTCTAATTTTTAGCTCAGTGGTTACATTACTCATCTGGGATGTGGGAGACCCAAGTTTGAATTGCTACTCTGAAGCATGGATTTGAATCCTGGTTTCCCCCCTCTCTGGTGAATGCCCATATTGCTCAGGAAATGACATTCTGGGGTACTCTCTCTGTTTCTCCTGTTGGGGCAGTTCTACTTTGAATAACATCCTTGAAGAGTGATTGGAGCAGAGACTGTAACTCAAGTGTTCTTCTCCCTCCTCCCCTCCCTCCCACCTTAGTGTCCTAGATAGTGAGCTACAGAGTAACTTGCTTTCTCTTTTTTTGCCCAATGACAATTCAAGTTTCAGGTTGAATAAAATGTTTAGTTTCACCCCAAGCAATTTTTCCAATGTTTAAGTCACCTAATATTTTGAAAAAATTGTGTCAATTTGACCTGAACCAGTTTTTTTCCATTTCTCAGAACTATAAACTAACTGAAAAATCAGCCATACATACAGCTCTAATTGCTAGTAAATGATAAAATGCAACATCTCAGAGCTCTTGTTCTCTGTGTCCAGGTTGTAGAGAAAGAGGTCTTTGGGAATGTCCATCAAACAAGCTCTGTATCCAGCATGCCATGATCTGCGATGGCTTTCCAGATTGTCCTGACAAGATGGATGAAAAGAACTGCTGTAAGTACTTAATCAGGTTGATAGGACTGAATCTAGAATTTTGGGGGCACTAGACAAACTATAAAAGCTGCCCCCTACAAGCATAATGGGCCCACCTCTACCTTTAGCTCCTTATCATTCTCCTTGTTGCTCCAAGTTCTCTCTTTACATTTTGTATCCACCGTCACTCTGGAATCCTTTGCACCTCTCTCTCCTTGGTTCCTCTTCCCACTGCTCTGGCTCCATATCTCCTCCTCCCTCTGTCTCTCCTTACCTGTTCTCTTTCCACTACAGTGCACTTGATGGCTATTTATTACTGGTAGCTCCTTGGCACTTGTTTTTTCCCCTAAAATCCTTGACATCCTTTCATATGGCTGCTTTGATCTTACCTGATCCCAAAACTCTTTGGCCTTTTCATTTCTCACCCTGCTCCCTTTACTCCTTTCTTCCTATATTTCTCACCATATGCAAGGTTGCAGTGAGCATCCATGCAGTGCCAGCAAGAGCATAGGGCTATCCCCAAAACCCCCTTTGGAGCCTGAGTAATGATTGTGTACTGTAACACCTAAGAAATTCTTCCTTCCTGATAGTCAGGAGCTGATGTGAGTTCCTTTTCACACTACACAGCTTATCAGTGGGCTGGGAAGAGGAGGAGGAGGAGGAGGAGCTACTGAGTGGCAGCTGCTGTACGAGCTTCCATCTTGTTGCTTGTCCTTTCAATGTGTATGTGAAGCCAGTAGTGGAGAATGGGAAATGCTTTTGGCTGCATATGTTGATGGTTCTCTGTTTCATCTGCTTTTAGACAAATCAAGTTCTGTGATCCCATATTTTGTCATTTGATCCACCAAATAGAGGAATGGTGCATGTTAGAGCTGATTGAAAATCTGAATTTCTATCCCCCAGGAAATTCTGATATTTCAGTATTTGTTTTATTTGTTTTCATTCTGATTGTGGAAACCATATTTTAAGTTGAAAAAAAACATTTTGATATATAATTCTTAACCAGCTCTAATGCGTGTTGGAAGGGGCACGTGGACCACCTGTGTAGGGTAAATGCACATGTTTTGCCTTATACAATGCAGCTGTTTTCTAGAAGGGCAGATAGCATCAATACCTAAATCCCTTTTTGGTTTCCTGCATGCTTCCAGGTGCAAGTGTAGCCCGATTTATTGATAGTGAATTAATTATATTGATTACTTAAGAGTTCCCAATTAACAACATAGTGAGGTTTGATAGGCTCTTGTCCAAAGATCAGATCCAGTATTATTAGGTTTGTTGTTTAATTGTGAACCCTCTACTGAAGATAGTTAACACCGGTCCAAATGTTCCAATCTGGATGATATGAATAATGCAGTAATAATTGGGCACTCAGCATCAGTTCATACATATAGTCTCAACTATTCTTCTGTAGAACTAGAAGTAGAGAGACAGCTGGTGGTCCATAGGGGTCCTCTCTTCTCTCTGGTATGCATAATGTTTGCTAGGATTGAAGTCTTGTATGCCTACCTCATCATCAAACCTGATGTAAGGTTTGATGACTGTCAGGAATATTCAGAAGAGTGTTTATTATCCTTTGCACAGAACTAACTGTTCTACACTAGTAATGCTGGGGTGTCCTTGTTCTAATCCAGGGGTAGGCAAATAGCAGCCTGCAGGCTGTATCTGGTTGTCCAAAGTTAGCCACTGGAGGGACTTCACTGCTATAGTTACCCGCACCTCCTCAGGTGCCAGTGATTGCAGCTCCCATTGACTGGGAAAGGCAATCCACAGCCAATGAGAGCTGAGGAGGTGCAGCTAAATATAGTGGTGCCAGCTCACCAGAGGCACCAGAGGTCAACCACCACCATTTCATTGCCCATCCCTGCTCTAATCCATGTTTGTATACTTATTATATCAAATTTATTAGCATATGTCAGATGGTTACTATAACAATTCTGTAGTTAAGCATCTACTGATGGGTCTATCACAAAATACACCAAACTGACATCAGCTGTCTTTTTTGCAGTTATCTCTCATCTGTCTGCAAAAAGTCAACAAAATTATTTATTGCAAAGTTATGTTTTGTGCCGTTCTGTGACCTAATGTCACTGGTAACTTATGGCAAACTAAACAATTTACTTCTGCCAAAGTTCATATCCTTATGCTAGCTGCTTATGTTACTATCTTACAGGTTTAGGTCTGTAGGCTTTTTGCATTTCTCCATTATATCTTAATCTTAATGCACATAAGCTAATTTTGGACTTGGTGTAATCCATAAAATAATACAGAGATTACATAAATCAAGATAGTCGCTAAAGCTCTGGATGTTTTGAAATGTGAATTACTAAGAGCAACTTACATTTTACACGATAAACTGAAGCTTTTCAAATAAGCTGATGTATTGTACCTATGCTACTTACATGGTTCCCATGACGGTGGTGTGATGTCTCAATGTATTCGTTCTCATAATGCCTCTTTGAGAGAGTGAGGTACAGGTTGAATGTCTCTAGTCTGGCACCCTTGGGACTTGACTGGTGCTGAACCAGAGAATTTGCCGAACCATCTGAGGTCAATATTGTTAAAAACACAGAACACTGTTATCCAGGACTGGTGTCTATAAACAAACTTTATGGGACCCCGGGAAACTTGGCCACACCTATGATAAGTGGACATCCAGCTAACTAAAATCATGCCAGACCACAGATTTTGCCAGGCCAGAGAGTGCTGGATTAAAGAGGTTCAATCTGTACTATTATCTTCATTTTACAGACAGGAACTGAGGAACACCAAGCCTAAATTACTTGCCCTAGGTCCCATCAGGAAATTGAACCTGAGCTTCCTGAGTCCCAGGCAACAATTGTATCATCCTTTGTCTACTCTTGCTGTCAGTCTTGGAGATGAATTATTCAAGAATAGTAGTAGAGCTTCTCAGCTGAGCTGTCTCTGATGCTGGAATTTGCTTCCCTGGGTGCCCTCTTCCTCCTGAGTTTTTTCTCCCTTCTCAGAGGGCTCTCTATCTCTGGAATTTGTTCCTCTTTGAAGCCTGCCAGAGCCAGAGTAGGGAGCTTCATCGCATGATGCAAGATGTGGCTGTTCAGTTTCGCTTTTGCTTGATTTTGCGCATGCATGTGTGTGGGGGGGGCTTTGTTTCTGAGTATACATACTTTTTTCCTGACCTAAAGATATGTGGTTGATAATGTCATGGTGGATAGTATCAGTTTACATATTTTTTTATAGTTTTCATTGTGGATTGGTTGATATATGGTAAGATGGGATTTCCCTGTTGTAAATAAATGCCTGGCTTGTACAGTAATACACTCTATAAACTAACAAGATATATTTAAGAAATCATGCATGATAGTGCTAATTCTTTTCCAGCCTGCTCTGGTGCCCTTGGGGTAAAGTCTGTTAGAGGGACTGGTAATGTGGCATGGCTACCTTTCCTGGGGATTTTGTGATGGCTAGGGGTAGTGGTAAAAAATTCTGGGGACTGTATGTGACCATAAATTGACCTCCGATGATCTTGTGGATACTGGACTAGGATGCAGGAGACCTGAGTTCTGGTCCTGGGTCTGCCACAAGCCTACCTATGTGACCTTGAGCAAGCCTCTCCATGCTTCAGTTCCCCACCTCTGAAATGACAATGATAATATTTTTGAACTTTAGGTATCTCAGGATAAAGGATAAATGTCTAATTAACATGAAATAGCTGGTTGGGTTAGGATTAATGCAATTCAGCAGAAACAAAAACAAAGTTTCCATCTAAAGTTTGTGAAGGACTATAGTGCTGTAATGATAGGGTCATACCTAGAACTCGGTAGGTAGGACACACTGAATCATGTACCCCATCCATGATATTTCCATACACCACTGCCCACTGGTGAGATTTTTCTGACCTCCTCCAAGATCTCCTACGTCTGAGTCCTCCTGTCCACTCCACAGTATATTTTCTGCCTGCTGACTATTTCCCTTCTTCATAAACCTGCTTTGAACTTGACCCTGTGACTTTATCCAGTCAGAACTTAGTATGCATTTTTGAGTCATTTTTTAAATATTATTTTAATATTTGTATTTGTGTCAGCAGCATTTTGCAAGGCAGATGAGCTTGAATGTGCCAGTCATGATTGCGTGCCACGTGAGCTATGGTGCGATGGGCAGCTAGACTGCGTGGACAACTCAGATGAATGGAACTGTGGTAAGTCTCATCTGTGCCATTGGCTGGAAGTGATGTTGTGCATGGTACATGTCATTAAATGGTTGACTTTTTATAACATTTTTCCAAAATGGTGCTGTGAAGAGCTTGGACTAGGATCTTGTTCCAGGAAAGCATGAAAGTCAATACAAACTGTACAGTGGGCAAAGGAGGAAAAAGGAGGTGGCAAGTGTATGGATACTGCAAGGTGCAAGAGGAGATAAGATGAGACAAGTGATATTGTTTGAATGGAGATATGAAGAGCTTCTGAAGTGAGGAGTAAAATTTTGAGCCTGCTGTAAAAAGGCAGAGATTGCAATGAGGAATCTGAAGAATACAAGTGACTTGAGCAGAATGACTAGGGCCCTGATCCTGCACTCATTAAATTCAGTATCAGAATTCCCATTGTCTTCAATGGTGCTGAGAGGAAAATAAGTCTGGCACCTCCGTTTTGATGGACTAGAAGTGTGAGAGGAAAATCAGTAGAGAAATCTGGTATTAGCCACCTGCAGTACCAGGGCCCATGAAAGGCCTCATGTTTTTATGTATTATTAAAATGAGAGTTCTCAAAGCTTGGCTATTTGAGTAAGAATTATGTAGGCTCTATACAAACTATAGCAGTATTTGAAGGAAGTAGGCTGTGTGTTGTGGTGTCCTGGCTATATACCCTAACTCCACCAGACAGCAGTTGGTTCCGCTGTGTGATGCAAAGGAAGCTAATTTATTTCTCTCCATGAAAGTAATGCAAATACCACAAAGAAATCAGATGTTTTATGACATATATTTAGTATAAAACAGATATACTATGTTTAGTAAAACAAGTATTCTCTGTTCATAATGCTGAGAAAATACAATGTGCACAGATCTATCAAAATTACTAAGTGGAGAAAAATGTCCTATAAATATGAGTTTGAAGTATTGAGAAGGAGGAATCAAAGATTAATATATAATTTCCTTTTTGGGGAGGTAAAAGCATGGTACTGTAAATAGTAAGTGTTTAATAACTTAATAACAGCACATTAGAGACAGGAAGGCGGATTTTGGCAAGCTCAGAGAGCTGATAGGTAAGGTCCCATGGGAATCAAGACTGAGGGGAAAAACAAGTGAGGAGAGTTGGCAGTTTTTCAAAGGGACATTATTAAGGGCCCAAAAGCAAGCTATTCCACTGCATAGGAAAGATAGAAAATATGGCAAAAGACCTCTGGTATCCCAAAATAGCCGTGCAGTGTAGATGTACCCTAAGTGAGTTAGGATTAATGAAATCTAAGAATAAGTGAGAAGTACAAAGTTTAAATAAAAACAATATGTACTTGGGTGAAAATGTACATAGAAAACTCTTCTGTCAAGAGTTCCTACACACAGAGTAATGCAGTAAGGAGACCTAAGTTTACGCTAGTCCATTTTTGCTCATTAGGAAGTTTTCTTGTGAAGGATCAAAACAAAGGCACACTTCAAGCCAGTAAATAGGTTGGGAAGAGAGATGATGGTAATAATAGAGGATTGTCTTTGTGAGGGAAATATCTATTGATTGTTTTTCTTCTGGAGCAATATAAATTTATCAGAGGCCAGAATCTGATATTGTTCTTATACCAAGTACCATCTGATCCCACAAATGGTCTCATAGATTTCAGTAGGACTACTCACGGAGAGTAAGGCACTATTCAACAAGAGTTAAGTGATCCGTCTAGCCCATGTAAACAAATGATGAGTTACAGTGGTTTTATTTGATCTAAACTGCAGGATGTGTTTCTTGTTTATTATCTTTCATATTGTCTTGTCTAAGATTACCTCGATTCTGATGGCCATTGCTGCCACCTCCTGAATTAAAACTTCATAAAGTATAGAGGAAATAAAAGATAACTGGAACTTGCATTACTGAAAGTTGCTTTTGAAAATTATTCTTATATTTAGAATGTATAATGTAACAAATAGAATACCAACTATCTGCAGAAATAATTTTTACTTTTCTTTTTCTTTGCAGTGACTCTATCTAAAAACACAAGCTCTTTCACATTCCTGACAATTCAAAGGTCAGCGATGAACTACCATGTTTGTGCCGATGAGTGGCAAGAAAATTTAAGCCAACTGGCCTGCAATCAAATGGGTTTAGGGTAAGGTCAGTAGTTTGTAGCATTGCTGAATTTCCCATGGTGATGGGGCAGCAGAGTTAGTTGAATGTGTAGTGGCTATTGTTACTGTGACCTGCGTAAAATTAAACTTAGTATAAAAAGGGGTAGTAAAGAAAAAGGGTAATTGAATTCTGTGAACTCTTAGAAAGCAAACTCTCAATAAAATTCCAACATTACATACAACCTTACAAACACTACACAACTGCAGGGGCGGACTTGCAATCAAAGTAGGCCTGGGAAATGGGTTGAGAACAGCCCTCCCCATGACGTCACCCGTGTGCCCATCTCCCTTTCCCTGGGTCCAGGGCCGGCTCTAGGATTTTTGCCGCCACAAGCAAAACATTTCCCCCCCCCTTTTTTTTGTTCTGGGGAGGGTGTGCATGCAGATTGTCCTTACACTGCTTGCCGGGGGCGTATACACAAATGCTGCTTGTGTAGCTTCCTGGGGGGGTGGGGCGCGCGCTCCGGGGGGAGCCCAAACCCCAGGGCATTTTCATCTCCTAGGAGAGCACCAGGGACTCCCCACGTGAGGACAATGGGAGGGCAGGTACATCCACAGCAAGTCAGTTAAAGCACGCAGCTGTTCACATCCCTTAGTGCTGGAGTCCTGGTCCCACTCCTCACTCTGCAAAGGGATTTTATTATTAGAAGCCTTCTAATCACTCAGATTCCAACCCCAACACATAAGCTGTCCAACCTTGGTGTCCATGGACAAGAATCAGCCTTACTATACAATGAAACAGTTCAAAGGGATTAAGAGAACTTTTGTTTCAACTCTCCAGCTCAACTGTCCAAAACAAGACAGGCACCAGACAACAAAACTCCACTAGCCTAGGACCTATTCCATGCGCACAGCCCTGTGCTTTCTCCTTCGGGGACGGACCAAATAGCCTCTGAAGCAGGGTGGATTAATTTAAATAGCTTTGACTTAAATCTCTAATTTTAATCATGATTTAAACCGGCAAGCAGAAAACCATGGTTTTAAATAAGCAATTAATCATTTAAATTAAACTTTTAAAATATTTTCCTAAAGGATGGTTGCGTCTTATTGATTAGCAACCTTTAAAACATGTTGATTTACAACTAAATATAAACTTTATGCCAAACTCCATCCCCGCCTTCCTCATTCCCACCTCTTCTTTCAAGCCTTCTCCTAGCACAACCCCCTCCCCCCTCTAGCTCCCAATGCCCTTACCCTCTCCCCTCCCAACATCACCCTGTCCCCCCTCCCACTGACACCTCCCCTCCTGCCCTTTCCCTCATTGTCTCCACTTGGCCCCCTGTCCCAACACCCCCCTGCCCCCCCTCCCACTGACACCTCCCCTCCTGCCCTTTCCCTCATTGTCTCCACTTGGCCCCCTGTCCACCCTGTCCCTTGATGCCTTCCCCTTTCTTCTCCTGACCTGCCCCCCTCCCCTCAGCACAAGCCCCTTCTTCTCCCACCTCTTCCCCCTATTTTTCCCCCTTCCCCTCCCCCACCTTCTGCCTTCCAGTTTGTGGGGCTGAAGTCTGTGATTGGGCTCAGAAGTCCCTGCAGTCCTGGCCCCAGCTGCTTCCGGGGCTCCAGATCACGTGCTGGGCCTGGAACTGGGCTGCATGGTGCTAATTTTACTGAAGTCCCCGCACCAGCTTTGGCTCCCATTAGCAGGAACATGAGGGTGGGGGGAAGTCTCCCCCCCCCCCCCGATCCGCCATGCGGAGCACGGCTGTGTAAGCGGGTCCGTACCAGAGGCATAGTGAGGGTGTTGCAAAGGCCAAATTTGTTACTATGGATCGTATTATGTCCTTTTATAGAAACTTCGTATACTTTTACAGAACACAGAAACTTTACAGAACATTAAGCCTTTTAAAATAGAAACCTTAGAATATATCCATGAGAATTTTAAAAAGGGTTTTATCTAACAGTCCATTTCCCCAGTCAGAGCCATGTCATCGTCATAAAAAGGAAGGATGGATCCTGATGGCTGTTCCCTGTGTGTGGACTACTGCACCCTAAACAAAGTTACTATGAAAAAAATGTTACCCGCTACCTTGATCCCAGAACTAGATCAAGCAAGAATGGCCTTATTGGTCACCATGCTAGATGTCAGAATCTGTTCAGGGGCCTAACAGAAAACTGCATTTTGAATATGATAGGTGTGGATGAGTAGTGGGGTGCGATCACCCCTTACCAGCCAGGCAGGGGGTTCAGCAAACCCCTTCATCTATTGGATGGGTTCCTGGTCCCAGGACCGGGAATCCCAGGCAAGGGGGTTGGGTGCGATCACCCTCTCTCTGCCGAGCAGGGGGGATTCAACAGACCCGCCGTCTATACCCTGGCTCAGAGTGGAGGCCCTAGACCCCGCGTTTTGGCCCCTTCGAGGGGCCCCTCGGCTGACTTTTGCCCGGTCAGCTCGCTAGCACCGGTGCACGTTTGCGGGGGTTTCGGGATTGCGGGGGCTGTAAGGAAGAGGACGTTAGGGGGAAGGGGACCCGGGCCCGCCCTCACTGGGTCCCAGCCCGGGGCCCTAAGTGCAGGGGCTTGCCATCGCCCCTGCACAACAGACGGGGGAGTTTACTCCCAAAACGCGTCTGTCCACGGGCGCCACCCGGGCCCCACCCCGGCCCGCTTCCTCCCTTCCCCTGCCCCTCGGGGCCTGCCTGCCGGTCCCTTGTGCCTACCGGGAGTCTGCTGCTGGGTGCTCCTGGGGATCTGCTCCCCCGTGCCTCGTCCTGGCTGGGTCACTCCCTGCTTGAGTGGTGGGGGTTGCCTCATCCAGTTCCAGGCTCTGCGCTAGCTGCTGCCTGCAGGGGTTGTCCCGGGACACCCTGGGCCAGGGGTGGGCCGCCTGCCGGTCTCGGGAGTGCCTCCGGTCTGTCCTTCGCCTCGGGCCTCTTCTGCCTGCCGTGGAGGAGATTGCCCCCCCCCCCCCGCCTCCATGCTGGCGGGCCCTTTTGAAATGGCCCGCCCCTTCTTGCGCATCACCGTGGTCTTGGACAGTGAATTGAGGTCTATTGTGATCTTTTTTTTCATAACATCCTCTGTAGGCATATACTTTACAGTAATCTTGTAAACTTCCTGGCATAGGGCTATTCCTGGGTTACCCGCTTATGACAGTCATTCTTAAGCCTATGACATAGTAGGGCTAAACTAAAATCTTACAGGCCTCGGCCTGTAGGCCTTGCATTCCAGCCATACTTTATGTATCTTTCTAATACCCACTCATCACTCCTACATACTTATCAATCTATTGTTCAAGCATCTTATTGATCTTTTCTAATTGGCCATCTGTCTGATGGTGATGTGTGATGGATTCATGGGCTGGACTTCGTGGAAGGAAAACTCATCCTGTCAGAACCTTGGAAGCTTCAGTCGGTAATAAGATTTGGGGAGGCCATGGAGGCAGAGCATATGTGTAACTAGAAGGTATGCAGTAGTTTCCGCATGTGCACAGTACAAAATTGCCTATTTTGGTGACTTGGTCCAGAACAGTCAATATGGTGTTAGACCTTCAGATTCAGGTAGTTCCCCTGTTTAAAAAAAAAAAAAAATCAAGAGTAATATATAACCAGGGCCAGGAAAGGGTCTCAGGTTGGCATCAGGCAGCCAAAAGTCCTGCTCTGGAAGAGTTCTGTGCAAGCACAGATGTTGCAGGATCTGATGTATGACTGAATGTCATCCTGCATCACGATACATGTACAGCCCTTTCAGTCTTGGGGAACCCATTGGGATATATAGGCAGCCATTGACATAGAGGAGGTTGTTGGCCCAGGAATAATAGCAAAAATGGCACTGGGAATACCCTCATTGGAAAAAGTTTTTTAAAAAGGATTAATTAGGATTGCTCAAAGCATGGTGAGGAAGTCCAAGGGTCCAGACCCACAAATTAAATGGTGTGGTTTTAACGTGCAAGATGGCAATTCTTTGGGGTTAGTGGGTTCTGTATAGTATTCCCCTTTTCTTCAGAGATCATCAGCCTAATTCATTTTGTCTGGATCATACATGTCTGACACTGAATATTGAGAAGCATAGGGCCAGACACAACTGCTGCTGATTCAGCCATGATGGCAAATAACTCCTTGTCTACTATTTCATAATTGCATAGATTTTTGACTATTTCTGTACGTTGGGGGGATGTTTTCAGAGAACTATCCATGATAAACTCCAAGACCTCTTTCTTGAGTAGTAATAGATAATTTAGACTCCATAATTTTGTATGTTTAATTTTGATTACTTTTTCCATTGTGCGTTACTTTGCGCTTATCAACATTGAATTTCATGTGCCATTTTGTTGGCCATTCATCTAATTTAGTGACACCCTTTTGTAACTCTTTGCAGTCAGCTTTGTACTTAACTTCCTCAACTTTCTTGCCCTTGGATTGGATCTCCTGATTTTTTGGACCTTTGTTTAAACTCTGACTGCCAATCTCGATTACATGACCACTAGGCATTATAAAGAGCAGGGGTGAGGTCTAAGGCATTTTTGACACCTGACAATCATCTGACACAGCCATCTTTTAGGTCTATATTATGCAGCCTGGGCCTAATTCTTCAGCACCCTGAAACTTGTATACTCACTTATGCTTTGGCTGAGTGTAAAATGCTACCAAACCACTCCTAAGTAGCAAGGGAGTGTAGCCTCCCTCAGAAACTGATATGGAGAGCCATCTGCCCCTGATGGGCAGAACCCAGAAGGCATAGGCCATCATGCTGGAAGTGGAAGGACAGGAACTGGATGTATAGGCGTTAGGCCCTGAAAGACAATTGAGCAGGAAATAACAATGCCTTTCTAAATGTTGGTGGATGTGTTTGGTTGTTTTTTATATGATTGAAAATTACATTAACTGCAAGCAAGTGAACAGAATTTAATGAAAACGAAATGGGGTTCTGTTAGATGAATTTAGCAAATGGTTCATAATATACATAAAATTTCTGAATGGCAGCTTCTAAAACAATCACTTTGAAAATATACATGTAATAAACTTACCCTCTGTTAGCTGGA